TAATATCTAATAATAAAAATAATGAAATTCAATAACATGCTTTAACCACTAGGTGTCCCTTTATATCAGGTGTGCACCTTTATGGTGTAAATACAGCCTATCTACCAATTGGATCAAATATAAAAGTCAGCCGAATTAGTGTTGATACTGCAAGGAGACGTATTGTGTGAAAAGAAATGTAAGATGTTGTTTAATGGCTGATATATTTATGATCCACGTCACGTTTTCAGTTCCTCATGTTTGTCTAGAAGTCTTCTCATCAGGGCTATATAAATACAGAACTACGGCAGATATGTAATATTTAATGCAGCCGAACCGTGTATTACAATGCCGTTATGTGATGACTTCCAAAGAGAAAAGCAAGCACACTCGGAATAAAGTATTATTGTATTTTTTTTAAATGTTTTCGGTCTGTTTCCGTTATTTGTTAATGACGATGTGCTGTGAGATGTGAGACTGGAATTGCACAGGGGGAAATAACGTAGGCTATCTTTAGATGCGGATTTTGTTAAACTAATATGTTTTCGCTGTGGACCAACACTATACATTGACGGGGAAGGGGGTAGCAATAAAGATAACACCATTAAACAGTTACACAACATAACAGAAATAATATCGATAGCAGCGTCCCTAGCAACCACCTTGGTAACAATGAAAACGTTATGGACGCAATTTCCTGAAGTAATCTTCGTAATAACTAGCAAACTAAAGATCATGTACATCCACTGCACACATAATCTGAAATAACAACTCATATTTCTCGCATCAAATGACATCAAAACGCATTTTAATGGCCAAACTAACTTTAAAATAGGCATTTTCCATCGAGAATAAAACGAAGTTCGGCCATGTTTTTTTTTTCTTCAGGGAGAAATTTGAAGATCAGGTGACGTCAAACAGAGCACATGGTGTAGTCCAAACGATAGCTGGGGATTCTGGGTAGTGTAGTGTCTTCTGCCATCCTTTACTCCGAAAACATATTTGTTTCTCCGAATCGAAGGGGAAAAATACAAAAGCATTGCACACAATTTAAACCAATCAATGTTGTGTAATTAACAAGGATAATCTGGTGTTTTTTAGTCGATGAGTAGTGCAGATATCACTGTAAAATCAATCGACAGTAAGGGGAATACTTACTTCCGGGTGTACAATTCTCCGTTATCCAATGAGAATGGACGCTCACATTGCCTTTAAGGGCAGCCGACACAAACGAATGCCGTGCTTCCATGAGCGTCCATAGAAGCATATGGACATCCCGGAAAGCTGAAAATGGACGCTAAGGGCCCCCCCCTTGCGTTGAAAATGGACGCTAAGCCCCCCCCCTTGCGTTGGAAAAAGCCGACAGGGGACTTGACATAACGTCAACATAGGCCGACCTGGGAGTGAGGATGTGTTGGCCAGGTTTGATAAATGCCTGAACTACCAAGAGCCGAGGAGTGACGGCTGCAAGATCAGTTGGACGAGATTGAATGGTAAAGTTGTCCATAAAAAACTATTATATTCGTAAAGTGTACAGCTAATATATATATATATATATATATATATATATATATATATTATCTTAATGAATTTTATATAAAACAATATATTTTTGAGTGGGCTGTATCTGTCGAAAACTGCTGTCTGCTGTATGCACCTCCCTTACGAAATGAACTATAAATGAATTATAGTATTACTATAGTATACTATAAGAGTTGTATAGTGTCCTTTAGTACGTTTGTATTTTTCACCAGCTATTGTATTACTATAGTTTTTTCTGTAGTGCCATTTTATTAGCTATAGTAGCCCTATAATATTTCAATAGTAATACTATGTATCTAGATCTTTGTAGTATTCCTATATTATTTTAAATAGTATAACTATAGTAAAATATTTGTTTCTGTAGTTGTTTTTTGAACACAAGAACACTCCTATAGTAATAGTATGATGTTGTCATAATGAATGCATATTATTACTATTGTGTTTGTAAAAGTATTACACTCCTAGAATTAATGTGTATTTTTTTTTATATCAAATTAATTTATATATATATTTATATTTATATATATATATATATTAGCTTTACACTTTACGAATATAATAGTTTTTTATGGACAACTTTACCATTCAATCTCGTCCAACTGATCTTGCAGCTGTCACTCCTCTGCTCTTGGTAGTTCAGGCATTTATCAAACCTGGCAACTCCGGGCTTCCTTGCAGCTGTCAATCAAAGTCCAGTGGCTCCGCCCCAAAGTGTCAGAAACTTTTCACGCGCGCGTAGACAGACTCCGCGAGCAAGTGATGCTGACACTCCCGCGAGCGAGCAAGAGGCCTGTCTCTCTCGCGAGCGAGCGCATAGCCGCTCGAGGGGGTTTAATCTGCGCGCGGGGGTCATTTCATGTAAAAGCACATTTTCCACTCGTGAGTAGCTTGTTTTGCGCGCTAGAATATTGACCCAAATCTGACTCCATAATAGATCTATGGTTCTGATAGCTCCGCCCCTTCGCTCCAACCCCCCTCCCTCCCCCCACATCTACAGGTGAAAATTACTTTTGCGACACATTTATCGCAAGAAGTGTAGCAAAAGTCAAGACCGCAGATTCGTCGATTTATACTGCCACAGAGCAGATTCGTCAAGTTGTAATGACTGATTTATTTGAGAGGTTGTAATATCCAAGTTGCAGTTGTAATGGAAAATATATTTAAAAAATATGTATTTTTCTGCAAGTGAACATTTCATCACTAAGTTAATTTTTTTCCTACAAGCTACAAAACTTTTTTTTTTGTTCTGTGACTTCAAATTTGGTTCACAGTTACGTGGATATTTTATACAAGTGTAAATGTATGCACACAAGCTCAGATTTTTTTTCTGCAAGTGCTCACATCAGGTTTTACACGCTCTCGCATTTTGCACCATATCTACCTTCATAGCCCAAAACCAGTCCGAGCACACACACACACCCGCAGCCTGGCTATGAGTCTGTGTGTCTGCTCACACACAGACTCATAGCCTCGCCGCGTCCCGCCGTCCAGGCTGAGGAATCCGTGCGGAGCTGCAGCTGAGAAAAATAAGGCTGTGTGTGTGTGAGGAGCTCCGCGGATTGGTCCCTTTGGATCGTCGTTACGTCTCTTGGTTCCTGGAAGACAAAAATGGAAAAATAAAATCTCCAACGAGGCGTTCTGGGCCAGCATATATGTATTTTCTGTGTTAGAGTTTTACTTGCTACAGGGTGTACTTTGAGGGTTTGTGATTTTGCAGACCGTTTACATGCATACATGTAAGGGATAATGTGCAGCGACGCGGTCATTATGGGGAAAAGAACACAGACAGGACATGTTCAACTGTATACAGTTAAATCGAACGGACTTCTTTGTGCAGATGTGAGCATCCTTAACAACGGTCAATAAGTCCTTGACAGCGGTCTGTCTGTTCTGGATTAACAACGTGTCACGTGTTCTGAATTGACCAATCAGAATCGAGTATTCAACTAAACCATGTAATAAAGCTACATAACACACAAGGGGACGGGTAATAACCGGAAAAGCATGATATGGGACCTTTAAAGGCCCCTACATAACAATTTGACGCCAAAGAACACGTCCCTACGGACCCGATTATTGTGTCGCCTCACGTCTCCTGCGTCTTGGCCAAAAAGTCGCACTGGAACACACCGCAAAGACTTCAGCCGACGGCCAAGTAGCACGTATGCGTGAGTGGCAACAACTCTCCTTACCAGCAAGCGGCGGTAGTGTGTATTCGTCATTCAAAAGAGGCAACCGGAAGACAGACTGCGTGATATATACAAACAACAAATAGCGTGCGTTCCATTTTCACTCTCGTCCATCACAGACTGTTTCACATAACGACTTATCGAAAACATGTTTAGGAAAATAATAGCCGTCTGTGTGTGCCTTCTTCACTTTCGTTTCGCTTCTCATGCACTGATTCGCTAAGCTGAACAGCCAATCAGAGTGATTTCTTTGGCCGACAGCCTCCCGATTCAACATGTTGAAGCGGAAGGTGTCGGCACGGCCGAAAAGACATGACGGTGCGGGACACACCAATCTGAGTAGGGCGACAGGACGCTCATCGACGGCCAGACATCTATTGACGGCCGAAATAGGCGCGGTGTGTCCGGGCCTTAAGGTTTATGGCATTGCTATGAATTTATTTAGCGTTATGGCATTGTTGTAATTTGTTCTCTCTTGTTTGTGCATTGGCATTGCTTTGTGGTTGTTTAATGTATCTTTGTTTTCATTCTGCATATCTTTGTGTTCTTTTTTGGTATTTTGTCTCTTGGTGGTGGTAGTAGCTTAGTCCAAGGGAATTTGCATTTGGAACTGGAGGAATGACGTGGCTTAGACCTGGTGCCCTTGACCAAGGCACTGAACCCTTAACTGCTTGACCAGCCTAATCACGCATCAACGTTGCTCTTAGTAATACTTCTTTCTTCTTCCTTTTCAGAGGGTTGTGACCCTTCAAGTATGTTTTGGTCTTGTTGGATGCATGTAGAGTGCAGTGGGTTTATCACATATGCATAATGTTTCTAGAAAACATGAGAACCAAGCCAAGAACCAGGACCAAAACTAACATCTAAAAAAGGCTAAAATGCTCCATAGAGCTGCAGACTTCAAACATTTTTTTTACAATACATATAGTTATTTCAACAATTGTTTATAAAGCACATGACGCTCAAATAATGTTGGGCTCATTAACCATTTCTTTAAAAGGTTAAATAGGCCCAAAACCAATAAAACAAATGTATCATGAACAACTGGGAACAACAACCTGTTTAAATATATATTTTATTTGCAAATATGAAATATTTACACTCTGTAGCAGCTAATATAATTCTTCTTTCTATATTAAATACAGTTGCTGGATTCTTTACATCATAAATAACTTTTTGGGAAAAAAAGGACCACAAACAAAAGAGACTATCCTAATTGATTGTTAAATAATGCAGAAGAACTACGTGTGATCATGTGATCCCTCTGTGTTGCTCCTGTTGAAAAGAGTCTCAGCTGATTCTGTTGTCGAGGTGGCAGTACAGGTACATGGCCACTATCATGGCAGCAATCTGAGAAACAAAAGCACTAACTTTTAGCCGAACAGAGCACATTTTCAATAAATTCAATCATGACTTTCCCTTTCACATTTCACCTCCAATACTCCTATTCCTGCAGCGATGCCTCCCACAATGTTGGCATGCTCTTTGAGGATCTTCAAGATGTGTTTGAAACAGCCCTGAGGGGAAGAGTGTGTATGTAAATATAATAATCAATTATTCACAAATCAACATGATACACACAATAGTCAACAAATGGAAGGCACAAAAAAAGGACATTTACTATATTGCTATGTTGTTCTATTAAATCAGGGCTACTTGCAAATAATTAGCAACAGCAAATATGACTTTTAATAAACTTATTGATTACATTGTTGGCCAATTTAATATGATGAAAAAAGCATAAAAGATCCAGTCTTCAGGCTCAACATTTTATTGAATTGACAAACAGTACAAAAACAAACTGGTAGTATTAGCTTTGCTAGCTACAGGGCTTTTTAGGAAGTTGGATGTTCTGTCCACCTATTTTAGTAGAGATTGAAATACCTTAACAATAATCGTATGAATTGCCCTGAAAACACACAATCACAACCACCTGAAGTTTGGTTTGATTGACTAGCTGTGTCAAAGTGGCATCAGGATTTGACCTCCCTCTAGCTTTCCTTTCCGTTCTTTACACAACATTTCTGTAACTCTTTGTGTAAAGAAAAGTGTGAATATGTCTTCCGGTAGCATGTGCTATTATCCTAGTTTCAAAACATGACTGGGTCTCCAGTACGGCTGTACTAAAAAGGTGTAAAACTACATGTTAGCATTGTCATTCTGAGCAAGTTAGCATGTTGACATTAGCATTAGCCTCAAGTCGCTGCTATGCCAGTACAGTCCCCCAGAGCCTCTTGAATGGCTGTCAATTCATTGTCTTGTTACTGTCTAATTTACTTAAAACAAGAATGACACAGTTGACAGTTTATTACGTACACGTAAATAAATGCAGTCTCATACAACCGCGAGGCTGTAGCCCCACCATTCACGAAGGTCACAATGTTCTGTTAAATCTATGAGAGATATTTAAATGGGAATCTAAGGCCTTTAATTTGAGCTGCTTTTGGATTGTCAACAGTGCTCAACTTTCCTGTATGCGTATACTTTTTTATATTCTTCTTATATTAACTGTAGTGTTGTTTCCATCTCACCTGCACATCGCTGCGCTCTGCCTCGATGCTGCTGCAGGGGGCGCTGTAAATCCAACAGCAGGTGGGGGGTAGACTACCTCCGTTCTCCTCTTCAAACTTAGAGCCCACAAAGTCTGTGTAGTTGTTGAAACCGCAGCACTTCAGCTGAGAGGAAAAGCAAGAAAACACTTTTGTTTATATCCAATGTGCAATTTTGTACGAAAACTTTTTAGTTCAGTAAAGTTTAGTAAAATCATTGCTGCTGTGTGAGTTGAGGTTGTCAGTTCAGTTTGTTGTCTGAGTATTTCTATTCAAATGCCATATATTTTCCAGCCTTGGCATTTTTGTTGCATGTCATACCTCTCCGCCCCCACTTTTCTACAGTGTCCTCTATCCGAAATAAGGAAAAGATTTGCACAAAAAAGTCGAAGGTTGATCTGTATTATTCACTGTGTTGCACTTACAGGTTCTGTGTGTTAAAGAAAGTAACCATGACACTGTTGGCACCACATACAGTAGCTTTGAGTTTTACAAATGTCTGTTTTTAAACTCTTTGAGTGTTAACAAGTGAATTCCATTTCATTAAATTAAACCAAAACTTCTGCTTCTCTTGATATAAGTAAGAACATGTGTTCCCAGTCAAGGTTGGAACATGCTTTCAACACTTTTCTTTGCATTCTCAAACCAGTGGCATTCCAAGTTTGTTTTTCATTAAGTGAGTTAAGGAGGGGATAAAAGCTGAGTTACCTTGACTGAGGCATTAGTGCAGGTGAGCTGAGGTAACACTGATGGACAAACCCAGAGAGATGGCATGCACGCTCTACAGTTCTGTTATGGCTTTTGTCTGATTTCCATTGAAAGATTGGTAGCATAGCACTTTAGCCACAGGAAGTCTGTTTATTATTAATCAGCTGAGTGAAGGCAAGGCAAGGCAAGTTTATTTATATAGCACTTTTCAACACAAGGCAATTCAAAGTGCTTTACAAAAAATGAAAGACATTAAGAAAATGGCATTTAAAATCAGTCATTAAAAAGAAAAGCTAATAAAATAAACATTAAAAGAAAAAATACATGGATAAAAGTTACAGTGCAGTCTAAGATATGAATAGTTTAATTAAAAGCAGCGACAAAAAGAATAGTCTTCAGCCTGGATTTAAAAGTAGTCAGAGTTGCAGCGGACCTGCAGGTTACTGCAGGACAGTGTGAGAGGGAGAAACCATTGAATAGTCCATTGTTTACACTCAAAAGCCAGCATGACCCATTATCTACTATCCATGGGTTTGACTGTGATGCCTCAGAAGTTGTATTTTCATTGAAAGGAAGGGACTTTAAAAAATGTGACAAAGTGACACTGCCTTGAGTTATGTACATCATTAAGCCTTAATACAATTTGGACAAATTACATGTATACAAAAATGTAAACGGTGGTCATGAATGGGAAAATGTGCTACAGTGTATATAGACCAAAACAATTTGTTGTACCAGGGTGTAAATCTGTTTATGTATTATGCTACAAGCTACATTGTGAATTTGAACAAGGGGTTCTGGGATTGACTTGCTTGACTGTTTTTGGCATAGATGTATAAAGAGAACTGGATACAGAGTACACCATTTGCTTAATAGCGCATGAAGCCAAAATGGTCTGACTCTCTCGAGAGCAAAAGTAACCCATCCACTCTCAAGATCACTCTCGGCACAGTCAAATCACTCTGGGTTCGGCTTTTAGCGTATTTTACAACTTTTGAAACCTAATGATTTAAAAGAGGGCTATATAAGTGCTTGTACTGGGTAGGTCATTTACCGAAAAATTAAATATTGCGCTGAGTTACAGACAAAAAAGTACTTTAGCGCATTTACATATTTAGTGGTGTTACAGAGAAACTGTAGTTGTAGTACCACCGTTTGGCCACTATATGATTTTGTTTGTTTTGGCACTTGGCTTCTTTAATCGGCTTCATTTTCTAGCACAAGCAGTTGGGTTTTCCTTTACATACATTTGCAGTTGTTGTGACTTAATGCAGAAACAGTACTTTGATTTCTGAACATGCACTTGGTGAAAACGAAATACTGTAGGCCTACCTCTGTCATGGTGGTGTTCCAGATCTTTGTGACCACAGGATCGCTGCCGTAGTCTTTCTGTAAAGCAGGGGTCACCCACGCTCTGATGATCCCCTCAGCCTGAGGGAAACATACTCAGGTTTAGAAGTTTGTTGGCAGAACCTTATCCTGAATCTGATTTTAGCTTTATCAAAAACAAGTATTCTTGGTTTTAAAGAAATGTCCTCCAAAGATTTTTTGGATTTTTGTGGAGTCTATTTTTATATAACATTAGAAAGACTGATTCTTATTATTACATTATAAGCTTATTGTGCTGATTTAATGTGGCTGTGACTTTGGAATAAATAGACGTCTTTAGCCTGAAATACAGAGTAGCAAGGTCAGGTGCAGACACTGGAAGACTACAAAGAGTTATTCATAAACAGGACATCACTCCGGCCTTGAGCTTTGGGTGAGCTCCGCTCCCACACATAGCTAGAAAGCAGCCTTATGAAGATAACACTTTTTCTGTAGAAACGTTAGCGAAAACAAATTACGTATGATGGTGCCAGAGTAGGGAGGGACTTCCACAGGCCGGCCGAATGCTGATTGGGAGGATCGTGTTGCCAAGAGACTATCTGAGTCTGTGCACCTACCAAAGAGAACCAAGTCTAAACCACGGTATCTCTTCATCTAGTCTTCTTGACCAATCATAAATGTACGAGCAACGCCCTGTGTAATACAAATGTATTGTCGCACGAGGTTCGAGGCTCTTTCCGGAAATAGTGGTTATAGATTACAGTTTTGCTGTCTGTCATTTCTATGACGTGACGGAGTCCTTGTTAAGTGAATATATATCTTTTGCTCTCTTATAATAAATAGTTAAACTTAGAAGTTGTCTGTCTTTCCTGGAATTTTGAACACAACATTTTCAAAAAACTATCCTTTCCTCACATTTCAGAAAAAATGTAAACCAAAATGTCCCAACTGTCCATAGTTGACAACATTATCTGTAACGTTCCTAACCTTTAAAGTCTGACAAAAGATTCCCATTTTTTAACAATTTCCCAACTTCGACTTAAACGTCCTGAATTTCCAGAACCGTTTAAAATGTAATCTGTTTTATCGGTAGTGTCCGGTATGTAGATGAGAGGCCTTTAAATGCAAATAAGCTCCTGTGGGCGGATATAAAGCACCTCACTGCACTCCAGTTGAGTCCAACAGTGTCACACAAACGCACACTCAAGAATACACACCACACTACGGAAGCCCCTGAAAATAATATACTGCTGCTGATTTCACGGGGAGGAAAGGTAATTCTCTGGAAGTCACCTATTCATCAGAAATTAAATAAATCTTCTCTCACACAAAGCACTTGGGAAATAAACAGCCTCGGCATGGCACCTGGAAAAAAATGAAAAAAAAATCAAAAAATGGCCGAGCCATTATTCTCAATTCTTCGTCTGCTTTTTATGGTCGTAAACTGGGGAGCATTTACATATATATAGATGCTCCTGATGGCTTCGGTCAGGACACATTTTGTCCGCTTTTCCTGTTTAGCCAAAGTGCACAAAAAGGCAGGTTATGTTTGAGGCAGGAGGGGAGTCTTTGTTGTGGAATAATTCCTCCACAAACGCACAGGTTAGCTCTCTTTCCCGCCTTCCCCCCATCCTCTGTCTGTTGTTTCCTTTTTGATTAATAATCCCGTCGCGTACAGTCACACAAAGGCCCATTTGATGAGGAGGGAGAGTGTGTGCTTTACTGTACGCACATGTGGCCATGTGCACCCGTGTATCAGGTTAGTGTGTCTGAAAATGCCTCTTCTGTGTGTGTGTGTGTGTGTGTGTGTGTGTGTGTGTGTGTGTGTGTGTGTGTGTGTGTGTGTGTGTGTGTGTGTGTGTGTGTGTGTGCGCGCACAGTGAAGGGGCCAGGCGTACGAGATGCCCGAGGGGATGCTGGGATACATGCCACAATTAAAAGTGCCCCCCAAGAAGCAGAGAGAGCGGCTGAGATCAGAGAGGGTTATTACCAGCCGGCTAATTCATCACTGTCACTCTGCCCCGCGCCTCGCCACATCCTGTTAAACACACACACACTCGCATGCTTACACACTGATATGGGCCCCTGCAAACACACACACACACACACACACACACACACACACACACACACACACACACACACACACACACACACACACACACACACACACACACACACACACACACACACACACACACACACACACACACACACACACACACACACACACACACACACACACACACACACACACACACGGTGGACAGGCAGGACAAAGACTATAGCAACACACAGCCCAGTGAGGCAAAAGCGATAACACATCTATCAATACGGTCACCACCTACACAGTACACCACCTACACATGCATGATACAAGTCTTCAGCTTCATGTGATATTGATCTTTTGTTTACAGAGTGTTGCTTATTCTGAAATAATTATCGATATCTTTTACTGCAGTAACTGGTTGGCTGCTAATTGGTTATTGTTATTAAGTGGAAAAGCAATAAATGAGAACCATATAACATTCAGTTGAGCAAGGCTTTGTTATGAGACATTGGTTACATTTCCCTCCATCTGTATGTATGCTTAAATGCAGTAGAACATTTGAAAAAAGATGCAAAAGGGGGCAAAAATAAATATTTTGAACACACATTGTAAAACCTGTATTTGTAACATCTACTGTCAACAAAGCCCCAGTTTGATCCCTTCATTTATTGTCTTTGAATTCTATTCACAGAGCTAAGCATCACTACAAAGATCTGTGATTAAGTGGCAGTTTTTGCTTGAACTTATCATTATGGAGTAAATGTTGATTGCACAATGTAATGGCTTTACAATAATGATGCCTTTTTAGAATGGTTCCCTATAAGCCTCACTTTCACTTTGCAAATCCATCTGCCTCTGGGTACAATTTCCCAGGATAATTACGGCTCGATTTACCATTGCGTAACCAAAAGAGTATGAATTCTAATGGAAGTCAATAATTATTTAGTTTTTTTCTCTGTCGAAATCAGTAGCTAACAATAAGAAGTTTTATTGCAGTTACTATTTTAATAGTAAAAATGGCGGAATAGGCCGACCCTAAAGTTAGCATAGCAAGGGCTCCCTCAACAGAAAATATACTTTGTGTTATACTTAAAACGTTTTGTTCAGCAGGATAATCTCCACGTAACATTTTTAAAGCGTAAATGCAATCGATTGATGTAAAAAGGTAACATTATGCTATAAACCAACTACATCACTATCGCATCATCACGGCTAAGCTAACGTTGGACTTCGGTGTGATGACGTTTAGTCTCATTCAGTCACTATTTTTATGACACATAGAAGCTTCAGACATTTACCAGTTGGTACTTACTGATGTAATTTATGTCATAACAAAATGTGAAAATCCTTTAAGCTTGTGTTAACAACAGACCTTAATTAAAAAAAATTGAATTAGAGATGTGGGATCTGGAAGTGCGGAAATTCTAACTAATTTCTGGGTTTTAGGACCCATTCCTGCACCAGTCCATAGAGGCTAGACCCATACAAAATGACATACGGTTATTTGAATACATGTGAAGTTTAAAGGCAGGCAGTTTATGTTTTTAATGTTTTCGTATAATTTGTATATTTGTTTAAAACCTTTGAACATATAAATCAATCGCAAAAGCTAATGGGTAAAAATGTTGTATGACCTCAGACAATTTACTGCTTTTTGGAATTATCTTTTAGAATCTTCTGCTTAAACATTTATAAATTGCTAGCTGGAACAACACAAGATAAATGCCTTGTGTTTTTGTAAAGAGATAGAAAATAATCACTATGCTAACAGATGCTAAAAGGCGCAGTTCGAGCTGGTGATGATTCTCCTTGGGTTCGTCATGATGAGTGACCCCTCTCACATACACAAAGTCATTTCCTCCTTTGTTAATGTAAAGATATTGATCGGTGCAGCTCTAATCATCTAGCATCACTAACTCTGGGCCTAATATCTCCTCTTACTGCTGAGATATTAAAGCAAACAGCAATCAGTATTGGATTACGTTTTGAGGGGACATTCCTTTACTGTACACGGACGTCCGTGTGATTCATTAAACGCCACATCACATCAATTCCATTCATCCAGTATGAAGTCCATATCAGCCCCACTAATAAATCTCACCCTGGTCACTTCCCAATCACTTGACGGAGAAAGAACAACCATGACCACTGACGGCCTCTCATAATGCCTGCTGAAATTGCTTATTAAATCTCAGTTATTCGGACCACCTGAAGGTTATAGGCTCTTTGTTTAGATGAGCTGCAGGGCATGGTGGCCAAAAGGCAGATTTATACCTCAGATAAGTAGGACAGAATAGATCAACGCTTTATTTACAGCCTCCTTTCATTGTATACGCCTCTGTCTCTTACTTATTGACACAGGGTGCTATATATATGCATATTAGATGTACATTGGCCATATTCATTATTCAGATGCTATTGTGTTTACTGTGTCTTATCAAAAGCACAAGATGGACAGCTGCTCTCGCAGACTCATATCCGTGATGGAAGTTATGATGTCCTTTGTGTTTGTAATGAACAGATGATGCTAAAGCAAAGACACAGCACGTTAAATAGACTCTAAACCTTATCTGTGATCTGTTTAAGGAAGACGCATCTGAGTTATGTCTTGCATTTCACTGAGCTTTAGACAATAGCTCACACCTCTCTCTCTCTCTCTCTCTCTCTCTCTCTCTCTCTGCTCTCGCCAGATGCCGTTTACATAGCTTGTCTGGCATTTGCAAATGCTGAGCTAACCGAGGCGAGCGAAATGGAGCAAATGTATTTCAGCAAAACTGCCTCAGCAGCAGCGGCGCTCCCAACTCAGCCTCGAAGGACACACTCAGAAAATCACACACTCTTTGAGCTTCTTTGTGTGAGAGCAGGCACACTCAGGGTTGGACAGGACCAGAATGCATTAGATGGAGCGAGAATTAACATGACATAAATGGAGGGAGTGGGGGAAGTAAATGGCTTCACTGCAAAAACAAAAAAAAGACTTATTATTTCTATCTAGAGGCGAGTCGTAAACATTTTTGATTAACCTGTCAAGCAGTAGAAATGAACATTTTAAAGTATTTCCTAGAAAGGAGTGTTTGTATCCTGGTACAATGTAAAGTCCAGCTGGAGAGTTACTTGTCATAAGGTCATAGTATAGTATTTCATATACATGTCATATAAAAAAAGCAATAACAAGGCATACTACAGTATGCCATTAAAACATCATAAATAAATGAATGGTATCATATGCCATACATTTGTCAGAGAATGTAGTCACAGAATAGGATGTGTAAAAAGTGGATGTATATTATCTGATAAAAAGATAATCAGTCTTTTAAATGCAATATGATATAACTAAGATAACGTTATCTTATGTGACTATTTTGTTACTTTGTATGTGGTCTACTGAAACAAAAGTACATTTTTGTTTGACTTTGACCCAAGTTTTGTTGACTTTTTTCTACTTGTACTGCCATAAGTAATAGAGGACAATATATTATTTGTTTCTGAGTCTAAAATCAATATCATTATATTGAAACCAAATGAATAGGTTGCATGGTGAAATTCATATAAAGTCTCTGTAGTGATAAAAACACAGTTTTCCAAGTATATACAGTAAGAAATGCACACATCCTGCATTGGTGAAATAACAGGCATAGAACCCACTCTTTCGAGAATAATACAGGAAACAAGATCATATTAATTGGAAATAACCTTATCTTGTGTTAAGAAAAAAGTAATTCAATATCTACATGTTCTCCAAACTAAACGTCAAAATGTTTATTTGCTGTTGCCTTCCAAACCAACTCACATAAGCATTTACCCATTGAAAGTCCCAGTCCATATCTTTTGTCAGTATCTTGCACCAATCCCAACAATACCAGCATCTACAAGTGAGGTTCCCAGGAAGGCCCCTCTCCTCCCTATAGATGGATGTTTGTTAGATTACCTGTCTTGCTTCTAGGGATTCAGAAACATCCCATGATTGGATAAAAAACTCCACTCTCTATTTTCTTTATTAGGTCCCCAATCTCCACTAACCTCCTTTTACATAGCTCATTTGAAATCCTTGTAATTATTATACGTGGCACTAAATGTAAATGGAGCATGTGTGTGTGTGTGTGTGTGTGTGTGTGTGTGTGTTTGAAAGAGAGTGTCACACATATGTAAATAGGCTATTTTGCATATAAAATGCTTTAGCTTCAATATTCCAGAGTAATAAATTGCTCAAAGTTGGAGACGGCGCACATGGCCCCTGGGCTATCCCGGAGTCATTAAGTAGCCGAACGTAGTCAGGCGGACATAAAGCCAGTAATTCAATGATGGCTACGGCTATGATGGAGAATTTACATGGAGATAAAATCCAGAGAGTGGGACGAGGAGGTGAGAGGGTGAAAGAGAAAGACGGAGAGGGACGAGATGAATTAAGAGACAAAGGAAGGGGAGGGAAGAGGAGGAGAATGAGGGGTGAGAGGAGGGAGGGGATATGTGATGAGGCAGTGAATGGGAAGAAAGGTGAAGAGGGGGAAACTTACAAATGAAGAGTATGCCAACGCCACGACTCCAGCTGCCACTTCAGCGATGAATATGATGAGGATGATGGAGAAGAACTGCAGGATGGGACAAGGAGAATGTTTTAAGTACTTCATTATATTAAAAATGGTCTTGGTCAGTTTTACAAATCCAAGTCTAGCAATTATCTGCATTAATATTTGCATTAAAAGGCAGAAGTGGATGCTTCTTAATCCCATAAACTGAGGGATTTCCTTTTGTCAACAATTGCTCCTTAAGTGATACAGCATTGGAGTACGGAGCCTTTAAAAACTAAATCTTGTACAAATAAATACATATATTTTAAACACCAGACTAAAATAAATGATTCTGACGTTTGTTGCCACCAACAAATTAGAATATCCTGAGTAGTTTTAAACAGCTATTGTTGTACGTAACAATCACAAACTTTCGATAAAGCTTTAATGATTACACAGGGGGACAATAAGCAGACACAGAGCGCAAATGCTCCATTCTACCAGCTCATTTATTGTTTTAATGCTGTCCATTACAGCCGTTTGCCATGGTGCTTTGGTTCCCGCTCGTCCCGTCAGTCGTGGGATCTGCTGCACCGTCATCATTCAACTCAATGGGAGATGTGGACATGATGGGAATCCACAGGGGGAAAAGGCTGCTTGTTCTCCTCATTAGACTCACTGCAGTGGACTAAGAGGTAGTTGGCTTGTCGATAATGAGCATAATAATGTACACTGTGTTGTTCGGAGGTAGCAGGTATACGAGGATGTCGGGGCGGATGTGGACATTAGCTGAGCGCTTGATGAGCCGGGTGCAAATGGAAGGATGGGTGTGATTCTGAATGTGGAGCAACTGGATGTAAAAGCACCTCATGAACCCATACATAATCATTTAAGGTGTTTTACATCATAATTGAATTTGTCGAACTCTTCCAAAGGCACTGGGAAGCAATCAAGCGGCAACACTGAGGTCTTAAAATAGAAGCCAATAATGTCCCTTGAACATGCATTCTCTTTTTAATGGTCTGCAGGAGGCGAGTCCACTGGTTGCAAAAATATCTGATTGACTAGAAGTCTATGAGAAAATAATTGTACTTCCCACATGATTCTTTACTACAGTAGAGGTTTTATTGTCTCAGTTGCTAGTTGAAGTATTTTTTTTAATACAGCATGACGCTAGTTTTAGTAAAATAAGGTACTATTTAGAGTAAAATTGTGTGCTTTAGGGTGTGGCTATCTTGACCAGGTGCTGGTTTGGATGTTGTTGGTATTTTCATTCCAATTTTAACCCTTCAGAGATTGTTTTGCGGTCAGGAAAGTTCATTATACTGTAACTGTTTGGTCACCTTTACATTACTTGGTGACTGCGTTTAGTTTGACTATTTTGTGTATAAATGGGTGGCACCTTAAGAAATCATCATTTATATTCTTTTTATTTATCAGCATTCCCCACACTTTTGGTGTTGCTGTTTATTTTAAGTAAATTATTATTTTCAACCCGCCTAGTATGGCTGTATGTTCATGACAAACACATTTTTTTGTTGAGTTTTGCCAAGTTCTTGCTCATTTTAAAATAATTTCAACAGACCTGGCATTTATTTAGTAAACAGCACTTTCCATTTCACATTGTAGTCAGTGGGAATACTATGGAATCAGGCTTGTGTCATTAAGATCAAGCAAAACGTCTTCTTATTGATTCCATAACCAATGGGCTGCCAGCATTGTGATTAGGCAGGAAATAAACCATTCATATCTTGTTACCATTGGCACGTTGGTGAAGTACACCTTCTTCATGCCTTGAACTCACAACTTTAATAGTGTTGACACTTTTCCATACTAGTTTTTTTACACCTACCGTGAGAAGCAGACACTTGCTGTCCTTGCGGGCCCCACAGCAGCCCAGGAACCCCATCAGGACCAGCATGGCCCCGATGGCAATGCAGAAAAAGCCAACGTTGACAAACTGCATGCCTTGGCTGGAGAAAGGCCCCAGCAGCTGGAGGAAGGAGCCCCCATCCACGCTCACCCAGATGCCCATAGCCAGCAAGGTCAAGCCACCCAACTGCAGAATAATCAGGTAAACATATTCACAATAAATTAGTGCAAACAAAACAATACAAGCACAAACTTCAAATCTGGAGTGTTGGACTTTGACGAATACATGATGGTCTGTTACATTTGAGCCTTTGCCACACACCTCACACAATGCTGTCATCTGTACTTCCCAGTATACCCGTGTTGTGGTGACTTTAGACTAGAGCAACCATTCCAGAAACGTAGCTTCTGCCATACTCTGTTACTATGGCATGTTCCATAGGGATACTATCAATGCCAGAAAGGGGAGACAATATCTTTTAAAACGGCAAGTAAAATGTCCATCATTTGGGAGGGTTAACAGCCCTAGAGGGGATAATGGGTTTTTGGAAATAAAAGGCCATCTTACATGGCTAACTCTGTCTTACTATTACCTCTCAGTGACACCATGTCACCTCAATATCGTTCACTCCATTCAGGGAGAGAGGATGATTCCTTTTGTGAGACAGAGAGGTGCCGCCTCGGGCCAACTTGGCCTATTTTTACTTTTCTAAATGAAATAACTGCCCTTTTACATGACTGCCTTTATCTCCCCTCATGTCACACAGGCATAATAGACAAAAAGCCATTTATTGATTTTCTTGTTCTGCTGAATAAAGCAAGCCTTGAGGTGCATATAAGTAGGCTAAAGGATTACAGTATACACAGTCAAGGTGGTGTAAATCTCCTGTTCTCTAAAGACATGGATGTTTTATTTGTCAGGTCTGCAAGTTAGGAAATTAATGAGAACAAGGACATGACTTCACATATGAAGAAGATGGACCTTTATTGATCCCCCGAAGGGGAAATTCAGTTTTGGAAATATGTAATCTCTATAAAAAAAAGATTGGCAGTATCGGTTACCAACAAGACATGATTTTGGCATCGGAAGCTTTCAGGGTTTTGGTTTGAAGTCCGAAAAGAATTTGCCATCATGTTTGCGCAACCTTTTTATTAGTTAAAATTAGCTTGTAAACTGCCTACTTGTGAAACAAGTCTTGCATCTTCTCTCAATTCCAACTTCTTATTTGCTTAAAGTTTAAAGGAAAAACTGAGTGGCACACAAATAATGAAGCCATGGCTTGTATATCTGTTAGCTACACTTGAAAGAAGCTGATATTGCCTTTTTAGTTTGGAGATTGTGCCAATTGTAACCAGTATGTGATATACTAAATGTTTTTGTCTTGGCAGTTAAACGGAATCACATAACAACTGACTAAATACAATCAACCACACACTGGACGACAAGTATACTATGCCTAGAGTCATATCCCTGCGAATCGTGAGGAACAAAAAGCATAATTTTAAATATATAACCTTAATTTAAATAAAAAATTGTGGATTATGATGCTTATGTACCAAACAAAAACTCACACTACATGTTCTTGACATCCCTTTATAGAGTATGTAAAGTAGAGCAGGCATTACAACGGGATCACTGACGTGCATTCATAGAAATCCAAAACATGTGAAACCTGTTCATAACAAACAAAATCCAAACTATGTCACATGTTTCACATTACACTCTGTAAATCACCAGATCCCACTGTCATTATCTCGCTCTGTCTGCCTCTCCCTCCTCATCTCTCCACCTCTGACCTTCTCTTCCACCCTTTTATCCTCCTCCGTCTCCTCTGTATATTTCACCCTGAACTGCTCGTACTGAGTGATTTCTCGTCTTCGGCAGCAACCATGTTTGAAACCTGATATTGTCTGTCAGGCTCCATCAGGCTTGTTGCAGTCAGGGGGCCTCCGCTCCGCTTCAGGCCCCGACACGCCACATCTCCTGTCAGACGCTGACGTCTCCCACGTGGGGATCATCATTTTCTTTGTCTCCCTACCTTGGCCTCGCTCTTTCCATCTATTTTTTACTCTCCATCAGCCTCTCCCCACCTTTCACTCCAGGGTTTCTTTTCTCGTCTCCTGAACCTGTTCAGTGCCATCATTGCCCTGTTGGCTAAATGTGATGCGACAAACACACTGCCCCTCTTACTCCATATGTGACACCATCATCCCTCACCAGGTATAATTATAGTTGGCACAATATCTTCCATTTTTTTTATAAATAGCTAATTCCTTTGATGGTGTGCCATATGCAGGTGGATGCCCTGTCAGTTGAACACCCACATGGCAAAAGCACTGGAAGTAAATCAGGTTTTTGAGAGAAGGGGGAAAGAAGAAGCAGTGTCTTATCGTATTGAGATGGGAAACATAACATATTAGGGTTAGAGGAGAGTGAATGAATAACAGGCACCAGAATAAGAGGCCACGGCCTCCAGAGAGGGGGAGGTGAATGGAGAGATAGAAAGATACAGAGCGAGCAGAAAAGAGAACGGGCCTGTCCCACCCCAATTGAAATGGAATTGGTTCTCTTTCAATAGGATGGAATGAGAAAGACGTCAGTTGAGTTTAAAAACCCATTTTCATGGGTCATATTACCGAGAGCAGACAATCTGATTAAGTTCCGACTCTCGGGCCACAGATCTGCACACACAGAGCATTCATGGAGACACTTCTAATTTCCAATGCATTTTGATCGGCTCCAAGGCAGAGTCGAGATGTACACTTAGAATTAGAATCAAAGGGTTTATTTTTTGCGGACTTGCATCCTACTGTTTCTATCAACACTCAAATGGGTTTCTTAAGCTATTTCTTCACACATTCAAAAATGGCATTCAGTACCAGGATACTGTTCAATTCGTTTTTTATGTTGATGACAGTTCTTCATAGTAGTAACTGCGCACATTTCAAATACAGCTCTCTTAAAAGCAAATCGGTCCCAATTTTCTATTTTAATTTTGACAAAAGCTGTTTGGTCACCAAACCACTTTTGGGTTGGCCGTAGGTGGAGGTCTCTTGGTGGTAAATGGTCAATGGACTTCATTTATAAGGTGTTTATCCAGTCTTTACGACTCCTGAGCGGTTTACATTTACGAGTCATCGTTCACCCATTGGGGTGTGATTCATTCACACAAAGGCAGGGGCTGCCATGCAAGGTGCCACCAGCACAAGGATGCCAACATTCACAAACATTCAAACACCATTTTCAGGAGCAACTTGTTGTTAAGTATCTTGCCCAACGATACATCAACATATTAAATTCATGGTCTGGGATCTAATCTGCAACCTTCTGATTGAAAGACAACAGCACTACCGTCATCTAGAATCACAGCTTTTTACTGAAAACCAAGGATTTCAACATGTTTTCTGTCACAATGGTCAACTCTAAATGAATCAGCCCATTCAGATCACAAAGGGATTTTAAACAGAACTACTTCGACTGAAGCTGGAGTCATTGGTCTAACTGCATTATTAAACAAACCTGTTTGTTTTAATTTAGTTTGTTTTTGATTTTAGTTTATGAAATTGATCTTATTTTATGTTTAAGTACAATTAACATGTGGTGTCTTTGCCTTCTATCCGTGGGATGACACCGTGAACTAGTGACCTACAGTATAAGTCCGGAACTATGGTAGATTATGTTTCACTGTCAAATAGGTTTTACCACAATGTCCACAACTGTGGTTGGAGGTTTGGTTTTAGCTCTTGCACAGATGACTGGTGTACGGTTCAATTATGGGGTTCAGCTATTTTAAAGTTTATTACACTAATTATAGATTGACATGAAACATATGGAGCTATTATTTATGGCTACGGTAAAGGTTTCTTTATGTAATCACAGTTAGCAGCTTAACTTTATGCAAAACTGACTTCTCTACTTAGCAAAGACAAACCATAACATTTTAATGTCAAGTTTTCAAAGTTAATGACCCAGATTCTCCGAAGAACATTCATTAATTTCCTCAAAAATAAAAATTCTCAGAATGCAGATGGCCCCCGAACACGATGACGCCAAACTTGAAATACAGCCGAAGTGTTTGAGCGGTCCCATTAAAGCATCGTTTTTTATGAGCAGCAGAGAATTATTTAATCAATTGTGCACTGCTGGCTAACATTTCAAACAGACATCATAATCAGTGCGCTGCTGTGACTTTTAAGAGGTGCTGCATCGGATTCATCAAGCAGCGTATTGGAAATGTGAGGAAAATGATGACTGGTGCTGGGAGCTTCATCTGTGACAGTGGGACTCCAGGTGGGCCCGACTCGGCGGGCAAATTCAGCTTACCCTCGCCAAAGTTTCTCTCCACTTCATAAACCACATTAGTTATCAACATTAAGCCGAAGATGAAGCTGGCAAAATTAGAGCCTTTGAAGTTAATGAGATGAAAATTGCTACGAAGAGGAGAAAAAGGAGCATCATGTATGGCTTCTGGCTGATCTGAAATGTTTGTGTAATGAATGTTTGCGTTGAAGGACGCTATGAAATGATTTTCTTCACATTGTGATGACAGCTATTTTTTAATTCACACATGACTTTTCATCTCTCCCCAACCCCCTCCTCATATATGAGCATGCAATCAGAGCGCAAACACATACTCACAAAGATAAGCAAGTTGAACAAGACCATCATCAATTTGACGAATGTGAAGAAGCCCATTATAATCTGTAATAAAAGGAGAAGATAAATTATTGCATTTCCTCTTTCATCAGCCGAGACCTTTTATATCTCTCTCGCTCACACACATGCTCACACACACACACACACACACACACACACACACACACACACACACACACACACACACACACACACACACACACACACACACACACACACACACACACACACACACACACACACACACACACACACACACACACACACACACGGTATATGTGGCCAATCTTCACATGCATGCTGTGCTATTACATCCAGCTCACATCCCAGAGAAATTACTGTGAAAATTACATCGCTGACAATGACTCTTAATGATAACTCACACACAGCTGTGAGAAACAGTAAAGATATCTTATAATGGGTGATCTTTGGAGAGGGAAAGCCATATTAGAGAGGAATGTGTTTACACGTGGTAGAGACATTAAGGCACAGCAAATGGTAAAGTGAAATAATTAAAGTAAAAATATAATAATAGATCCATAAAAAAATCTTACCCTTTAGTGTGGTAATCTTTCTTAATATCCAAAGTAAAGCCAATTTCAACACATTTAAAGTCCCTGGTTTCAGGAAAGCTGACCTTTTTAAATGAAAAAAAAAACGCGATGAAACAAATTTCAAAAATAGTTTTGTTATTTTCCTGTGGCTCAGGTAAGAGGTGCCAGGCACTAATCTGTCTGAAAGATATCCATAGAGTGATGATGGCCATGCAGGTGAAATAATCTGATTTCAGAAATATGATAAGTGCCTCCTTTCAGGCGTGGTCCCTGAGGAATGAGGATACAGGTGACAGCAGGAGGAGTTCAGGTACAGGTTCTTTAGTGGCAGCTCTGACCCCTGCAGGTAAGGCAAGGCAAGGCAAGTTTATTTATATAGCACTTTTCAACACAAGGCAATTCAAAGTGCTTTACAAAAAATGAAAGAGATTAAGAAAATGGCATTTAAAATCAGTCATTAAAAAGAAAAGCTAATAAAATAAACATTAAAAGAAAAAATACATGGATAAAAGTTACAGTGCAATTAAACATTAAAAGAAAAAGTACATGGATAAAAGTTACAGTGCAGTCTAAGATATGAATAGTTCAATTAAAAGCAGCGACAAAAAGAAAAGTCTTCAGCCTGGATTTAAAAGTAGTAAGAGTTGCAGCGGACCTGCAGGTTTCTGGGAGTTTGTTCCAGATATTTGGAGCATAATAACTGAACGCTGCTTCTCCATGTTTAGTTCTGACTCTGGGGACAGAAAGCTGACCAGTCCCTGAAGACCTGAGAGATCTGGATGGTTCATAATTTAGCAGGAGGTCAGAAATGTATTTTGGGCCTAAACCATTCAGTGCTTTATAAACCAGCAGCAGTATTTTGAAATCTATTCTTTGACACACAGGAAGCCAGTGTAAAGACTTCAGAACAGGAGTGATGTGATCCACTTTCTTAGTGTTAGTGAGGACTCGAGCAGCAGCGTTCTGAATTAGCTGCAGCTTCCTAATAGATTTTTTAGTGAGACCTGTGAAGACACCATTGCAGTAGTCGAGTCTACTGAAGATAAAAGCATGGACAAGTTTTTCCAAATCCTGCTGTGACATTAGTCTTTTAATCCTAGATATATTCTTTAGGTAGGCTGATTTAGTAACAGTTTTAATGTGACTGTTGAAACTCAGGTCAGAGTCCATGACTACACCTAGATTTCTGGCTTTATCTGTTGTTTTGAACATTGCAGACTGAAGCTCAGCGCTAACTTTTATACGTTCTGCCTTGGCTCCAAAAACCATTACCTCAGTTTTATCTTTGTTTAATTGGAGAAAGTTCTGACACATCCAGTCATTGATTTGTTCAATGCACTTACTCAGTGTTTGAATTGGAGCATAGTCTCCTGGTGAAATTGTTACGTAAATTTGTGTGTCATCTGCATAGCTATGGTAACTTATTTTGTTGTTCTTCATTATCTGAGCCAGTGGTAGCATGTAGATGTTAAAGAGAAGAGGCCCCAAGATGGAGCCTTGAGGAACCCCACATGTCATATTTGTCAACTCAGATGTGTATTTACCTATAGAAACAAAGTTGTTTCTGTCCTTTAAGTAGGATTCAAACCAATTCAGAACTGTTTCCGATAGTCCCACCCAGTTCTACACAGGTACACAGTGACACAGATGTATAGCACAGGATCCCTTTCTCTGGGATTGGAATATAAAATAGATGGACGTGTACAATTTATCTGCTTTATATCGAAACATTAATAAAGATCCTATGTGTCCGAAAATCCCCAAAAAACGAACAAGGTCACATTACTCTGAAAAGTTCCCTACAACCAACAACACTTTGGACCAATAGGCATATGTCTTTGGGATTATGGGCTTTTTGAGTTTATGAGCTTTCTGTACAATACATGTAAGGATGCTGGTTCTGGATGCTATACAAGTTTCATATAACGCTAGCAGCTTTGATATGCTCTGTATTGGATATAGGGGAATTTACACAATAACAACTCCAGGTGACATAACATGAGATAGAAATACGTTTGCAAGATGTATCAAATTGTTGTTCAAATGATGGGCTTTTGAACTTCTGTGCTTTCAGTACAGTACAAGACAGGGTTCTTGACCCAAGTGAAAGCTATATCGACCATTGACTTTTTTTACTTTGACTTTTTAACTTACGTTGGTGATTTAATTTATCTAACAAACTTATCCAAAAACCATGATATTTTCTTTCACTTAACCAAGAAGTAGTGCTGCCCTAACGTAAGTAAAGTGTATTGGAATCAGAACAGAGCGCCCTCAATGACACAGGTAAAGCTTAAAATGTGTAACATGCCAAGTGGTAAGATAATTATGCGTCTTCCCATGCAATCACATATACTATACAGGGGTTAAATTAGCAACCAAATAGGCACGCAATGTTTGTTCCAGGCTGGCAAAAATGTCCCTGCTGTATGGATGCTGGTTCTGGGTGCTAAACAAGTTTCATTAAACGCTAGCAGCCCTAATATGCTCTGTATAAGATATGGGGAATTACACTCAATACATTTGCCAGATATATATATATGAAAATTGAAAAAAATAGTTTCTGTTAGTGACTTTTTGCCTTATTCTTTTTCAGTACAATATAATGCAGGTGCATATTGTAGGAATACAGTGCTCTCATTAAATGTTAAAAAGCTAGCACGTCTTAAACCAACTTGTGGTGATAACATTGGCTTGATCAGATAGCTTGAATGTGAACAATATATTACCACAATATTGACATTAAGTTACTGAATAGTACAAAATATTTGAGGATAAAACACAACATCCAACTTATATTTCTTCCTTTACACTCCCAAACCACTGCAGCAGCACCCACTTTGGCCATCTGCCTCTCTCCTTTGGCTGTGTTGCTGCTTTATGCTGTCGACTCTATTGTTCCTCTCTCCTTCCTTTGTTCCTTTAACCCCTGAACACTGCAGTGGCCCCTGCTCACCGACAGAGGGGAGTAGTGAATTGCAGAGAGCCCCCTCTCATCATTGTTCTCCTGCAGCTTCAACTGGTGATGAGTGTTTCCCTGAGTGGAGGAATTTGCTTTTCTTTGTCCAGGAAGACAGGAGTGAAAAGAAGTAAAAACTCAAATAAAATGTTCTCTGTTTATTTGGCGTCACCACTTCGGGATGCTGCCAATTCAGTTGTGAAATTGAGTTCCAATTCAAATCCAATCAATTTAGATAAAATAAGGGTTAGGGTTACCAAAATAAAGCTGTAGCTAAAAACTTGATGACAGATCTTTTTTATGGTTTGGCATTTCTTCTGCATCCTTACACCGGTGTTTTATGGTTGAATGCAGCAGCAGGATTCAACAGTGTTTCCCTTTGTCTCATCACATGTTTCTGCCTAAGATTCTTCTAGAGCCCATTTATATAGAGCTGCAGGCAAAAGAAAAAACTCCCTGAAAAATGGCAAAAGCCCTCTGCCCGATGCCACCTTGTTGGGGAGTTGAGCCCATATCAGCCGAAGTCTTTCTCAGTAATATCCCTTTAATGGCCCCATTTTGAGTTATGACAATCTCACCCACACCGTCATTAACCCACCGGTCCTTAATCTCAGCAAGAGGACCACCTGTCAGGCTTTGTTATCCATTAAACCGTTAATAATCTCTGCCAGCGTCCCGCGCACGCACACACTGTCCCCGCGGCGAGTGGAGAATGAAATGATCAGATGTGTGCTTTTTCTCCTCTGATGAAAGCAGTGACGGGCTGTGGATATCTTGGGTGAGATGGGGAAGGTAAAAAACAAAGGGTCCCTTAATGAGGTCAGTCAGATTGAGTATTATCAGTGGCCCCCCCAGGGCAGCTGCCACACTGCTGCTGCTATTACATGTATACCTTGTAGATCCCAGGTGAGCATTGATTCATCCGGTAACCTGATTTTAAGGTTGATACAATATCATCCTGCTCGAGCTCGGCAGCGTTAATGGTCCAACTGCTCATTAAAAGTTCCTAGACACCTTGATAAAGTTCTGTGACTCATGGTGATCAGCCTGGAAATGATGAATACTTTTAGTTTGACACACGGTTGCTACAATTTGTTGTTGAAACAAGGAAATGTCTTATAACTAGACACAGAAAAATGTCTTAAAACTAGTCATAGGGAATGGGTTTGATAAATTGATAATGCCAGAGATGTCAACCTCAACGCTTGTGTTTCATCTGAAAACCTTAGCGTGTTAAGAAAAAGTGATGGAAATGAATTACATGTTGAAGTTTGACTCCAACTTCCTACGGATTTTTACCATGAATTACATGGCAGTGAAAAGGCAAAGAAAGCAGAGGAATTGGCACAAGCTACATGTATTGAATGGTAAATGGAGTGTACTTATATACTTAGCAGGTCTTTTCGACCCCTCAAAGTGCTTTACATACGAGTCATTCACCCATTATTCCTGCTGAGCTAACATTCATACACATACCGCCATCAGGAGTTAAGTATCTTGCTAAAGGAAACATCAACATGTTGACTGCACGGGCTGGGATCGAACCCACAGCCTTCTGGTTGAAAGATAACTGCACTTCCTCGCAGCCACAGTCACCCTATTGAACTGATAGGAGACCATTTGACATCAGTAAGCAGCAATAACATAACATGTTTTACTTTATTCTAACTCCTAACCCTAACTAACTAGCCAGTCCGCTATCTCCAACTTCTAGAAACTAGCGCAAGCTTGAGCAAAATGACTTTCCTTAGTTTTCTATCGTGATTTAGTGCATTTGCCATTTGTCATTGATTAGGTGTTCCGCACGAGGTAGATTCCTCCCACCAGTTTGTCGTCCATTTCTTTATTACAGCACCACACATGAATACTAATATTTCAAATTTGTGATAAACCTTTATTGCATTTTTGTCATTAACGCTAAATGTTTTAATTGATTGACACCACTAATTAGTACCATAAAAGTACACATGCGTAATTAAAATGACTATATATAAATCATAAATCATAATTAAAGTTTTTGAATATGTTATGAATGACTATTTTCAAGGCATTTTTACTACCTGTTATTCATACTGACAGTGATAGAAGAGAGGAAATGAGGAAGAGAGATGGGGAATGACATGCAACACAGGTCCCCAGACGACTTTAACTGGGGACGTTACGGTTCATGGTTGCCAACCTTACATCCCTTGGTTAACAGGGTGCAACGTGCCTTTAAACGTTCAAAGGGCATCACTCACTGCTGGCCTATAGAAAAACATCATTACCCCACATTGTAAGCCCACATACAAGTACTATGTCCAGCGTTGACTCTTAGTCCTTCCAGTAAACGTTTTAATTTGCTCCATCTTTAATTCTATCAGTTCTCTCTAGAGAATACTAGTAATCAAAGACTTGACACTAGCTAGCTAGAGTCAATTGTCCTGTTGCTGTCAACTAAAAAACGGTTTTGACTAAAGTGTTTTAGAAGAAAACATAATTATGTGCATTGGCCGTTTTTCTTTTCAGTTCTCAAAGTGCTGTTTAGTTGTGTCACACATAATTCCTTGCTTCTGGTTATGGAAGAATTGTTGATGTTTTATTGTTGTCCAATTGATAGTTCCCCCAAACTCAACTAAGATATTTGAATTTCTGCTTAAATATTAATGATGCCGGTATTGCCACAAGGAAACTCAAATAAATTGTTTCAGTATTACCATTTTATGCCATTGAACACACTTTAAAAACCGTTCCCTATTAAGTCAATTTAAAGAAAAAAGATAGGATGAAATTCGAGGATTTTTAATTTAGCAATGTCAGTAAAACAAGGATTTACAAAACTGAAGAAGAGAAATAACTGTTTTCAAAGGATTTAGGGGACTTATTTGTACTTTAAAAGAAGAAATCACTACTTTGCCGGCAACATATGTTAAAGGTTTCCCTATGACTTTGAAACCATTACATTATAGTTTATTTGTGCTGAATGTAAAACTGCTCAGTTGTTTCTCTTAGTTATTTCCTGAAATGTTGACATTGTGGACATTCATTCATTTTTTTCACCTGAACATAATACACTGCTGGAGGTGGTGGTGGTGTGTGTGTGTGTGTGTGTGTGTGTGTGTGTGTGTGTGTGTGTGTGTGTGTGTGTGTGTGTGTGTGTGTGTGTGTGTGTGTGTGTGTGTGTGCATGCAGTGTGTGTGTGTGTGTGTGCATGCAGTATTGCGCTGACAGGCCTTATGTTAAACGTATTTTTTTCTGATAGAGACCGCAAAGTTCATGACCCCGTGAACTATAAACCACCAGTACGAGGCCTCTTGACTTTGGATTGGCGTAAATAGCCTCTGGTCATAGAGCGTGTGCGTTACAAAAATCAGATGATGATGATGATGATGATGATGATGATGAGGGCGTTGATAGTGATGAATACTTGCACCTATCCTGACCTCTCCTCTCTGCACCCCCCCTGAGGCAGGATGAGTCTCTAATCTCCGTGTTGTTGTCCTCGGTCAACAAAGGGGGGGAAAGAAAATCCGTGGTGATGAATCTGCTCGGAACACGTCGCTCTGACATCCCATAATGCCTTTTGTTCAGACAATAACAATCGCTGGTCCCAATCTTTATGAAGTGCCTAATTATTTCCACATGGCAAATGATTTTGAGAGCCTTCACCTAAACGAGCGCAGCAGTCACTTTATTATTGTTCATCATCCATTATGTCGACATTACAAATTGATAATTTCTTTCAAGTGAGGGATGAAAATTGGGGGCCGGAGTGGCGCCAATTCAGACCCCGTCGGCATAGAGAGAGGTACCCCAGTGACCTCTATTGTGTCTTCTGTGCTTTAATTTATCACACACACACATAAGCATTGCATATTAATTCACAGCAATCCATTAGGCCATAGGAGGTCCATGGTCCATAAATCAAAACTAAAGGGCTGGCTAATTGACTTACACACAAAGGAACAGGACGGCTATGAGGAAGATAGGAACAGATAAGAGATGGGGGAGAAGAGATGAAGAAATGAGGAGGAAGGGGTTAATGGAAAATTAAGTGAAGGACGGGAAAAGAGGAGGAAGAGAAAAAGAGCAGCGGCGTATCGCTGCCGTTGACCTGCGTGCCTCCTTTGTTCTATGACTGATGGTATTTCGCAATGACACACATTGCTTATGAGCCCCTGTGGCCGTGGTCTCGCTCTCACCACCTATAGGGCCACTGTGCAGCGACAGCATATAGGGGACAATTCTCGCAGGGCTCTTAGAGGCGCTGCTAATTAGCTAAAAGGGGTCATTTGTATGCAGCCTCCCTGTCTCTTTATCTGCCGCTCTTTCTCTGGCTCTTTCATGGTCTCTGCCTCTTTTCCTCTCTTGGTTATTAATCCATTTCCCCCCTTGTCTTTATCTCAATTTGTCTCTGCGACTGTAATTGCATCTGGTGTAATAATTAGCGTAACTTGAGTCTAATAAGTTGGCTGTTAGGGCTAACAGATTAGAGTTCAGAAACTTCCATTTCCTCCTCCTTGGTTCTAATGTACTTACAGAAGGACATTAGCACCTTCTAATCTGTTACATGTCTCAAGTTTCTGTAGGTGGAATTAACCATACATGGTTAGTTTTAGTGTGGACAGAGGTACAGTATGGGTCTTCTTAGTAATCGAAACCAGACCTGGGTCCAGATGTAACCTAATATTGCTCTTAGTCCTGTTTCTGTGTCTGTATTTCAAAACCCAAGTAGATCCAAGTTGACTTGATCATGACCAGCTCTGAAATGTATGCATCCATAAAATAAAGCATAAGCATTTGTTCACTATACTTTATTGGCAAAAATATAAAAATGTAGGTGTAAATGTACGTTTTTTTACCTGCCGGATTTTATTCCAGGTCACATACATCTGGTGTTGGTGCTTTTGTTTTACAGCTTCACAGTGTTTTTGGTTCATATAAGTTAATTTGTGACATTTTGCCTGCTTTAAAATTCATCATTATTTGGTTTTTCATTGCTCCACCCATCGGTCACTTCTGCTTCAAAAAACCAAGGCGGCGATGTCCAAAACGCCAAACAGGATGCTTCAAAAGGGTATTTCCCCAAACCAATTCCATCATGATCACGAAGTACACTTCTTACAGTCTTTTCTTACTTTAAGGGTTTAGACTCTTGATAGAGTTTTATTAAAAAGTGATTTCTCATTGTCTAGTTTGAGACGTTTTTAGTAATATCTTTCAAAAATGCTGGAGCTAACACCTTTTATTTATTTCCTTGATGTTGCATCTTTCTCCCAAGTCTTTGTTTTCTGTCGCTCCTTTCCTTCATCCCTTCCTTCCTCCTTTCCATCTGCCTTTTTTTACATGCTACAGCACACACACTCCTGGCCCTCAGCACCATTTTCAGTTTCCCCATCTTGTGTAGAGGATTGATGGAGATATGGGAAGCTGTCATGCAGTAAATAGCATGGACATTGGCTCCCCGCCACGAGATGGGAATCAAGCCTGCTTCTTGTGCTCTTAACGCTTCCTCCCCTCTCCCCTCTCTCACTGTAACTCTGGGCACCCTCCCGCCTCCTCTTCTTCACCTGAAAAAACGTTAAGTATGGACCGCGGAGGGCAGCGAAGCCACGGCGAAAGCCTCCCCTCCATTCCTCACTCTGATGCACGAGCCAATCTGCCTCCCCTAACAAAAGGCTCTCCAAAGCATCACTCCTTGTCCTCCTTCAAAAGTATAAAATATATCTCTCACCTTCTCCTACTCCTCGGCTCGGTCTCCCTTTCCCACTCATTCCCTTCCTCTCCATTTCTTTGTTTTGCCCAGCTAGATGAGTTATTTCCCTGTGACGTCTCATCAGGCATGCAAAGCGCCTCATCGCGGCATCATGGACAATGAGTCCCTCTGGCTCGTGAAAGGTTAATGCTTTGGATGATTGTAAATTGGTTGGCTATTTCAGGGGGCCGTGAAAGGGATAAGTCAACCATAAAATTTGATCGGCTGCCTCCCTCTCATCCTCCTCCACCTCTCTCATCTGCTGCATCCGCTGTCACTTCCCTCTATCATTCTCATTTTCATTCTATCTTTGCTGTCCTCATTTTCTCTCCGCATTTAATTCCTTCTTTATGTTGCCATTTCCCATTTGGTTACCCAAACAGGAGTTCAAAGGTCATGAGACTAACATCTCATCCCTGTGGCGTCCTCCCTGGCTTTGTCCCACATTAGGGGAGGATTTCAGAGAAATGACCCACTCTCCCTTTATACCTTCGACCACAATTTACAGTACAGCATGAGACTATAGTGGGGAATCATTTTAGGCTGGTCAAAGACGAGTAGAATCACTTTTGTGCTCACATGGTTATCATTAGACCCAGCTGGAGTAGACAGCGTCCCCATGTCGCCCTCCATAAAGCAGTGACCCCTCAACTCTTTGAACAATAACGGCTGGCGTCTGGGTGGCTCAGTGAGCCGAGACATGTTTCTTTTTTCCCTTCACTTTAAACTGAAGAGACGGTATACTTAGTTTGTTTCCTGACATGATTATTACAAGTCCTCCAACGAAAAACAGGTCATTAATCATTGCCATCCAAAAGGCAATGCTTGTAATCAAATTGCTACAACACTAGGCAGGAATTCTCGTATAGTGTTCTTAATTGTTATCAAAATATGCATGAAAACCAACAATTAAGTAATCATATCAACACATTACAAATGAAATTGTCAACTGGGAAAAGCAGACAACTGCCCCGGGGCCATAGATCCAGAGGGGCAGCAAAAAAGAGTGCATTTTAATTATTTTTGATAGTTTGATTAATTGCAACGTTTAAAGGGAATGTACACCAATAAGGTACAACTATCAACCTAAGGTGTGGCTGTGTGTCAAAAACTACATTAATGGCCTTTAATGTTTAATTTGATATGCTGTTTCCCCAATGAATAATCCTAAAAATAACTTTAGTTTGATTAGATTACATAAACTGAGGCCTAAGCGTATGGTTTTTGCCTTGTAACATCCATACAACTATTTCGATGTGGTGTTATCTCATTTGTGAGGGGTCGAAAATTAGGCGACATTACGTGCAATGTGTCAAAAAAGGAGCTGATTGTTACCCTTCTAACATGACCTTTTACATGTTTCCACATAAATGTACATTTGCTCTTCCCTTATATTGAAGACCAGAGGTGTCAGAATGCATGACAGAGGTCAATGCTGCATTATCCCACAACACCAACCCTTGTTGCCAGTCGCCTGTTGGTTTTTGTGTATGTCCCAACCTGCCCTATAGCCTTGATGATGGCCTATTCTTTTGCGTTTTCATCTTTACGGGTGCTTTTGTGGAAGGAAGGAAAAGATACCCTTGTATCTGTGGACAAAGCCGAACAGACATTCTTGAAAAACAGGTAGTACTCGTTTTTTCACTGTGTTGAACAAAGCTACTGTGTAAAGCCTGTCCATGAACCGGTTAATGTTTTTTTTCTCAATCTCTCAGAGTGGCGAATGGGCCTGAGTTTGACATTAGTTTGCTTGTAGAAAAGTTCTTAAAACAAAGTTATAGTATGAACACAAAATAAATGGTTTTGCTTGGAGGATGTTTTACTGGCTTACAGAATATAGGTCTCTGGTTAGTGTGAATATTACAGTTGCAGTGTGGGCCTGTGTTATTCACATGGATCAAATGGAGGCTGGCGGTCACATGGGAGACTCTCTGCATAAACTGCCTCGGGATAGATTATCACCCAACTCCAATACTGCCGCTCACCACAGTAGGCCTACCAGTCCAAAGGTGGAGGACACATCTCAGCTCCAGTGAACACACGTGGCAACACACATGTGAACACACAAAGGGACCACCATCTAGCAATGTCTTGTGACTGGGTTTAATGAAAGAGAAGCGTAGTAACATAAAGTCCTCATCTACCAAATAAGATTTACGTGAAACAGTCTCAAACTGTGAGGACAATAAATTAGACACCATACACATTCATTAGGTCCATTTATTCTGGATCTTATAAAGTGGTCAGAAACCATGAAATATGTTATAATTTCTCATTTCATGCTGTTAAAGCTAAGTGCAGCCCAGCGCGCCCAGGAAATGTGTTTATATAGGATGAATTTGCTGGACACAATTCACGTCAGAAGTTATGCCTAATTTAGAGCAAATGGAGGAAGCAGTGTGACAACTATCTAGCGTGACGAAAACTAAGGGTAATATGAGCGACTTTGACACCATAGCTTGCCTGTCTTATCGTGTCTTAAAAAAAACAACATATCTTTTCCATAAACTTAACCCATTGTTTTAGTTATTAAATACATTTAAAAGTAAAAAATATAAATCATTAAAAATAAGTGTCATCAACATAGATGATGATATTTGCAGTGATGTGCTAAGATCAATGAGGCAGTTACTAAACTAAACTTGAGCTACCCTACAAAACATGTCAATATTCAACCACTTTTGTAGGTTAATCAGTAGGTTTGACACTTCCATGTATACTTGGTATAAGTACAGTGCTTACTTGTGTAGTGTGTGAAGGTAGCCTACAGCTAGTCGGTAAATGGAACATGCTAGCATCGTTAGCTGTAACAGCCGGCAAGGCTAGCTGACAGTTTGTACGCTTTAGATTGTCATCTAACTACACTAATTTGTTTTCCCTTTTTCTACTTTTTACTTACTTCCACCACAAGTCTTATTACGTCACTATGGTTTATTGTCAGCACTCACGAGCCATTTCGCAAATCGAACAGGGTGTTAGCTTAAAGCAGTAGTGATTTTTGTATTAGCTGAATGGCCAACCCAGTCTCATGGCATTTCGTGTTCACCAACACGATTTTTAATCTATTGATTCGTGTTCACCAACACGATTTCCCCCTTTTTTTTTTTCGTGTTGCACAGCACGATTTTAAAAGCAATGTATTTCTACTGGTAATGTGTTTCGTGCCTGCAGCACGTCTTTTCAAATCAAATCAAATCAAGTTTTATTTATATAGCACATTTATAAACGATTTTTGGTCGAGCCAAAGTGCTGTACATATAATAAAAACAGCCTACAGTAAAGACACTTTACAGCAAATACAACAGCACAGATTGTTCAGAATATCAGTATGAGAAAAACGACACCCTCTATCCTTAGACCCTCACATCGTACAAGGAAAAACTTCCAGAGAAAACCCAGTTTAAGGGGGAAAAATGGGAGAAACCTCAGGGAGAGCAACAGAGGAGGGATCCCTCTCCCAGGACGGACAGACGTGCAATAGATGCCGTGTGTAAATCGAAGAGATAATACATTTTACAGCATATAGACCGAATGTTAGGAAATGCATGTGTCTGTAATAAGAAGATGAATCCACGAGGGTGTCAGCTACAATCCTGTGGAAGCCATCAGGGAAGCAGCATGACGAGACCCAAGGCAGGACCGCAGAGACAGGTTCAGCCACGACCCGAAGTCCACGACTTAATCCAGAACTCAGGATAGAGGATCCAAGACACAGGACTACAGCAAGAGGATCAGCCTCGACTCCGGATCCCGGCGTAGATATAGATACAAAACAAGAAAAAAGATTTGGCTGGGTTAATCGGAACAAGAGAATACACAGACACAGACAGAGAGGGAAAAGGTCATTGGATAAAAGTTATTCTTGATAACCCTCTAAAAAGATCTCATGAACTTCCCCACTCAATCTATCAAGACCCGAGCAGTTCTATTAGATATAGGATAAGAAACAGAGATAGGGAGCACTTTTTCTCTGGTCGGGTCGTGGAAGACCGGAAGCTGTGTGGTTCATAAAAACATGTTCTTACTCAATATCAAGCCACAATTATTGCTTTTATTTTAAATCGTATCATTTTGGACTTTTGTTGAAATGTCCCTTATAGGCCTACGTCTGTTTCCGGTTATTTTTATTTTGAAATTCAGTTCCTGACGGACGCCAAAAAAGCCCGAGATTATGGAATTAAACAATAAATAAAAGCAAGGATAATTGTGTGTTATTGGTGAGTAAATAACAGTGTGTTATTTTGAAAAGAATAACAAATTAGAAGGAAAAAAATATTTAAAAATACAGATTTCAGTATTCTGAGGCTCTGAGCCCCATTTATTTTCCTCACAGATTGCAACAAAAGTCAGAGATTATACGATTTAAAATAAAAGCAATAATTGTGGCTTGATATTGAGTAAGAACCTATGGTAAAAACATATTTTTATGAACCACACAGCTTCCGGTCTTCCACGACCCGACCGGAGAAAAATACGTGCTACAGGCACGAAACACATTACCAGTAGAAATACATTGCTTTTAAAATCGTGCTGTGCAACACGAAAAAAAGGGGAAAATCGTGTCGGTGAACACGAATCAATAGATTAAAAATCGTGTTGGTGAACACAAAATGCCATGAGACTGGGTTGGAATGGCATTAGCATCCAATCACATTCATAAAAGTACAGCAAGACACCACCCTAAGTTTCAATATATTACTGCCTCTCACCTGGAAGAGTTCAAGCTTCCGGTTTCAGATTGTTTATTGAGTGAATAATTATGCTAACATTTAGCCAATTCCCAATGATTTTTTTTAGAATGAAAAACTGTAATTTATGAGCCCTAGAGATTAAGAAAAACGCCACAATAATAACAAAGAAATGGCCCTTTTAATGTTACCTTTTTGTTTTGACTCCTACGGGCAAGTGGGAAATAGTCCTTTTGACTTAAAGACTGAATGAAATGGATGCTCAAAAATAACATAGTTCGAGTGTTAGATCTGTGGAGCTTATATTCAATATAAATACTCTTCATATATTTAATTTAACCCAATAATACAAAAACAACAAATTATAGTATCTAAAGTGCACATAAACTCCCGTAGATGTTTTACTGTGAAGTCAAA